CAAAATATAATTGAAGAATCGTTTGATGAAGTTGAGCATTCCACTGGTACTAAACAAGATACTGCAACAGAGGAATATCAAAAAAATCCATGTTTAAAGAGAAAATCTTCAGAACTGACCGTTTCGGACTATTTCGGAAATGCTGAAGAGCCAAACGAAAACTATTGCTCAGAATGTAAAAAGAATATTCCGTTTGAAGACTTTCTCAATCATGATGACTATCATGTTGCCAAAAGACTGCATGCAGAACTGAATAAACCTAGCAGCACAAACAATGTGTCAGCCAAAAATTCCATCATTAAAGTTAAAGGTAAAAAACCTGTTAACCTAAATATAACAAATTTTTTTAAGAGAATATAGATGCTCTTTTTTAATCATAAAAATTATGTCTGTTGGGGTATAAAAAATGTTTTTCTAATAATATCAAAATTTTAAAGACAAAACTGATTGAGCAACCTGCCATTTCTTCTGTATACACAGCAAAATTAGTGAAGACTGTGATAATGTGAAGTAGATATAAAACAGATATTTTGTTTTATTATTTTTAAAGTATTATACTATGTGTACTGAGCAACGTGTGCTTTTATTAAAATTTATTAAATATTTATATTTTGTAAATAAAAATGTACCTGAAAATGTTATTATTAATTTATGAAATAATTATTTTTCCATAGCTTCCCTTTTATTGTCCGAAATTTGCAGGTGATATTGGCCAGAAGCAGAAAGGTGTTGAAAACTGATGAAAAAAGATGATTTATAAGCAAAAAAGAGCAAAACATACATCATTTACGTTTTCAAATCAGATAAATTTAAAATTAGGGTTTGATATTAATATTGAGAGTAAACCAAATACTTACCATGTCGGGATAGCATCATGAGTTATATCCTCATGATTTACAATGGGATTACTAAAGAGAGAATTTTACTGTCATTATTAGGTGTGTCCTTTTAAAGGCAAATATCACATGCCACCATTGATTTTCTGACAGGTATTATCAGTACTCCAGGAAACGAAGTCGAAAAAGCACTTGAAAATCGAAAAATTACTAGGCACTATTTTTCAAATGGAATAATAATATTTATTCATCTTTTGAGACATAAACAATGTATAGGGCAAGTCATTCGATTTACAGTGATAGGCATAATACTTGTATTACGAGATAATGCATAGTACGACTTATTGAGTGACTTACTGCGCACGTCTATGTGAGCTGACCATTTTAATTTTGAGTCGAGATGGACACCTAAAACTTTTGTGGGATCAGAGGAATTCAATAGTACATTATTAAAATTTAAGTGAAGTGTAGGGCTTACAGTAATTTAAGCTATTAAAATATATTACTTTTGTTTTGCCTATATTTAAGATAAGATCGACACCAGCTATTAAATCGAGCTAAAAACTATACGAGGATAGATTGATATTAAACTACCCTTTGATTGATGGTGCTACTTGATACCGAATTGGTTTCGGTGTTAAATTTACTATTCATGACATGACGTCTGTCAAAATTTTAAGTTTTAAAAACAATTAGTTTGGTTTTTACAGCCGTAAAAAGCAAAGCAAGCAAATCAAAGCCGACCTGGACAAGTTTATGGTGAGGTTGCACCTTCGTTAGCAACAGTAAAATTTTGGAAAGCTAAATTTGTTCGTGGTCGTACGAGTGTTTTTGATGATGAGCGTCCCGGGAGGCCAAATGAAGTCACCAAGCCAAAAATGATCAACGAAGTCCATGACATGATTATGGCAGATCGTCGAATTAAGCTCCAAGAGTTAATAGAGGTCCTAAACATTTTCTACGAACGCGTACACAACGTCATTCACCGTCATTTGGACATGAAAAAGCTATCCGCGCGATGGATGCCGCGTTTGCTGACAATCGATCAAATGCAAAAACGTGTGACCACTTCGGAGACACTTTTGGCGATGATACGGCGCGATCCAAAGGATATTTTTTGCCGGTTTATCACCGTTGATGAAACCTGGGTACATTATTACACACCGGAAACCAAAAAACAGTCGAAACACTGGCGCAAACGCGGCGAAGGGTCGACGAAGAAGGCAAAGAGTGCACATTCGGCCGGCAAAGTAATGTCGACTGTTTTCTTGGATGTGAAGGGCATCATCTACATCGACCACTTGGAAAAAGGAAAAACAATCAATGGTGAGTACTACTCAGCATTATTGGATCGATTCGATGCCGAATTTCGTCCAAAACGCACCGGTTTGGGACGCAAAAAAGTGCTCTTTCATTAAGACAATGCAGCGGCTCTCCGATCGGTCGTCGCGATGGCAAAATTACACGAACTGGGCTATGAATTGGTTAAACACCCGCCGTATTCCCCAGATCTTGCGCCAGCAATTTTTTCCTGTTTCCAAGCCTATTTTGAAGAGCTCGAGCAAAAGTACTATTCGGATGGGATAAAAAAATTGGAACATCGTCATTATTAAGTGTATCGAGCTAAAAGGAGACTATGTTGAGAAATAAATGGATTTAAGCAGCTGTCGGATTGAGTAGATTAGCTGCTCAAAAGTTTGCTATGAACCTCTGAGAACCTCATCATCTTGTTTGTATGTAAATATAGATAAAAAGGAGATAATACAAAAGTTAGTATTTTGAATTATATTATGTGTACCATTTTTTGAACACACTGATGATGTTGAAAATATGGTATTTAACTTCTATCCTATTTTAATTTTAGCTCTTAAAGCATATTATTCAGCTCTTCGTCATTGATATTTTATGGACTTTACGGTCATAAAATTTTTATGTTTAAGATAGTAGTCATGTTGTAACTGGCTGATTGACACCTAGTCTATGCCAATAAAGAAAACTTGTTTTTCCTATCAACGGCTAGTTTTATATAATCCACCCTCGTAGAAGCCAATTTCTCGTAGGTTTGTGCGAGACCACAAGAGAAGTATTATCTGCAAATAACGGTCAGAGCCAAAACCCTAGATCCCCGGAATATCTGGGGGAAGTGAATAAAAAGGCATACCATCTCGTGGGCATCGAAATTTTTACTGTGTCATGCTTTTTATTAACATATAAGCAAAAAAAGCGACTTTTTTCATTCATTTCAATATTATGAAAAAATTAAGCATTTTTCCATTGTTTATAATTATTGAAATAAACAATAAAAATATTTAAAATGTATTTCATAATAGGAGTTTTTATGTAGTTACTATGTATACAATAGATGTGCCCGACTCAGTCGAATAGTTTTTAAACGATTTTATTTGTTTATTCCATTAAAGAAAAAAAAATTCATTTTCAAATGGCTGTACATATGATTTGTCAATACCTTTGGGATTTTTTGATCTCATTATCTTCGTAATGTCTCAGATTTTTGCGTTTTTAAAAAAGTATATTAATTTTTAATTCTTAAACTTACAAATTTAAGCAGAATGAAGTAACAGTTTTCGCCTGATAAACATTAAGTACTCTGCGCCATTTTAGCCTTCTTAATGTTTAATAGTAACCTTGTTGTATGCCATTGGGTGAAAGTTATAATAATAATTTGCTCAATTTTCTTGACAAAGAAATAATGGCTCTTTTAGGATATACAAATGATGATTTTTTAAATTTAATTATAATTTACAATGAGTGTAATAGAATAGTATCCAGGACTTACCGTCTTTTTGCTGAGAGATATCCTGAGAAGCCTGGAATAAACCATAAAACTGTAAAACGTTTGTTGAACAACCGTTTCCAGTTTGGTCAGTTTACAAGTAAAAGGATCCACGTCGATCATAAAGACTTACAATTAGATATCCTGAGTAATTTGCAGCTAATCCAAATTCATTCTTATGGTAATGTGAGCAATTGCTACAAGTATGGATTCGAACAATTCACAGAATTTTAAAAAACGTCATTGGACCCTTTATTCGTTTACACTAGCTACACATTTACATCCTGGAGATTATGTAAGACATGTAGAATTTTGTGAATGGGTTTTAATGAAATGCCAAGATTAAAATTTTACAAAAAAATTATTTGGTGTGATGAGTGGAAGTTTACAAAAAATGATAAGTTTAACCGCCATAACAGTCTCTTCTGGATTGACGAACATCCTCAGCTCCCGTAGGATAGCAAATTTCAAAAAAAATTTTTGTTTTTTGTGCTGTGAAAATAATAGTCACTCTCATGATTTATGACGAAAATTTAAACGGAGAGCGTTACTGCAACATTTTATGGCAAGTAATTGTACCAGCACTGCACGCTTTACATAATAATAAGGCTAACGAGGTTAGGAATTAACAAGATGGAGCATCGGCTCGCAATATTCAAGGAGTTGGCACATTACTTGATGAAATATTTAGCGATAGAGGGATAGCTAATAAAGATCCGTTTCTCTGATCACCAAGATCCTGTTGTCACCGTTGGATTTCTATAGATTGAGAATTCAGAATCTGAGAAAGAAAAGCAACTGAAATTGAGACCACAGAAATCACACGAAAACCACAGAATTAAGATCAAAGCCGTCAATACCTGGATATTTCTTGACGAATTTTATTATACAGTTTATATACCTTCCAATCATAATAAATTTATTCGACTTATGACTATTTGTCCCTCTGTATCCTGTTTGTTATTACTATTGAGGTACTGCTAAATGGTAGCTTTTATAAAGATTTTGTTATAATCATTCCTTTTCCTTGCATAAATTCCATTTGTGCACTTCACTTTCAGTTGGCTGCTCATTATATGTTCTCCGATCAAGAACGAATTTTCGTTACAAGGATCAAGGATGATACAAATCTGTTTTCCGAAAATGTACTACTTTTACTTTGTAACAGAGCTATACAGTTAGGAAAATATTTTGAATTTAATTGAAGACCCTTATTTACACACTTCTAGTCCATTGGTGTTGGAGCTAAAAGAGCTTGAATTCTAATCGTCCAAATGTAAACTTTAATCAAATATGGATGACCAAAAATGACCGATTATGTGAGTAAAGACAGCTATCGGAATGGAATAGAGTAAAAATAAATCAATGGATACATTTATCTATTAATTTAATTTTAAATAAACAAAAGTTATAACCAATAATATATGTGTATATTTAGTCATCACTGTGATCCACTATTATTAAAATAATTTGAAACGTTGGGGTATTTATCCGGTAGGAAGTCTTCATTATCTTTGAGATTTGTCTGAACAGTCGAGCGCAGTAAATTTCTGTAAGCATTTTGAAGTTCTGTTGAGGCGCCTGCTGCTTGAACTACTACATCCAAAGGTGCTGCTGAGGAAAGACCACTCGAAGATACAGCTTGTCTTACACTCTCTGAAAGTGAAAATATATGTTAACATCACTATGCAAAAAGGTAAAGAAAAAATGATTATGTAAATCTGCTACTAAAAAACATTTATCAACTTATACAGGGTGAATCGCATGGAACTGTATATACTCCTACTTTGCATGGAGACCTCAACGGGGAATGTCATATGCGCATTAAAATCTGTCTGCTCTCATAGTTTAAAAATATAAAGGGTGAATTTGGACTGACATTTCATTTGATCATAAGTTTTGAACAGTAGTTTGCGATTTGTCTTATACCGTCTGATTAACTCATTTCTATGAGCCATAGTTTTCATAATCTACTAGCCAATGTGGCCATACGAGGTATGTACTGTATGCGCACCACGGGCATTACCACATTTCTCAGTTGCTGTTGAAAGACTTTCTGGCTGGAGCTATTTTGAACAGTTGTTTAGCTCTCCGTATCCCGGTCTATTCCCTGACATTCTTCAACTACGAGGCTGTTTTCTACTAATCCCCTGCGTCCTTCCATTTTACCCATCATAATTAGTCTAAGAATATTATACTGTTTTCTCCGCATTATGTCCAAGATAAGCTATTTTCCTGGATTTGACGTTATCAATCAGTTGACGAGTAGCTTCTGCTCTGTTGAGAACTGCTTCATTTTTCTACTTAGTCGTCCACGGTATTTTTAGTTTTCGTCTATACAACCAGAATTTCAGAAGCCTCTAAGCGGTTAATCGTAGAAGTTTCGAAGTTGAAATTTCAAGTTATCGTTACAGAAAAGTGACCTGATTTTTTATCTCTTTATCTGGATCTACTAATTGTTCGGTAATATAACAACATAGATATTTAAAATTGGATACTCTTTGTATTGGTTGTCCACCTACCTTATTTTAGAACAACAAACTGTTAGTCTCATCTCGTCCCACCATGTTAATGGACTTTGAAAAGACATTGCAATCCATAGCACGCAAGCTGAGTCCCTTTAGAATCTTACACTCTTCTGTCGACTTCCCATTAATATGAGTGATCGCTGTTTGAACGCGAATATAAGTTTTCAATGATCAATGAATTTGTCATGATGTATTCTATCGAATGCCTTTTCATAATCAATAAAAACAGCTTTTTTGTCAAGTAGCAGTAAAGACATCTTTACTTTGATCTCGATATTTTTAAAGAAAAACATTAAGTGCGAAAAGTGAGTTTTACATCTAAACTTATTCATTGTCATAAAACTGTCACCTTCATAAAACAATTACTCAATAAATAACACACATTTCAAAAATATATCTCTCGAATAAGTATAAATAGCTTTTAATAACACAATGGTATATTACATCACTTTCATTTAACAAACAATCACACACATATCTCTTCTTCATTGGATCAAATCTATCTCCTCAAGAACTTCCCGTTTACTGTCAAACAACTGCAATAATAGAATTGAGTTCTCCATTCAACAATATATAGTAGTTTCAACCATGTTCTACCATCCATCAATTAATAGAGTACCGGCATGTAAGTAATGTTTATTTTATTTATTTCCTCATTTATTAATTTATTACAATCGAAGAGACTATTTTATAACAATTTGTGGGCCTTACCTTGTCTGTTTAAACTTTTATACTTTTTATTCAACTTACTCATTTAAATAAAACCACAGACATGTAATATTGGCATAATTATTGTAATTTACAACATCTACTTTGTTTATCGTTATTAGCCAACCCCCTAATATGGGTTTTTATTTTTTCAGCATTTGTTTAACTTTGTATCGAGACCTGAGGATGCTTTGCATATTGTAGAAAGCGAAACCGGTCGTCTGATAGTTAAATTAAATTGATTGTGAGTAAGTCTTATTTATTATTTCTTTACCTATTTGAAATGCACTCACACAAGCAACACATTCATGATTTGATTACAATTTAGACATTTGATGGTCCGGTAAAGAAGCTATAGAATCAGGCGAATTACATTTCCAAAATTTTTGTGTAAGTTTTTACACCAACTACTGAAATAAATATTGGCTTACCTGTGATAACGTGAGGGAGATTTCCGTGTGGTTTGGAACCATTGACAATTTTTCGTCTTTTGCTTGGCATACCGGAGAGATAGGCGTCACTAAAGGGTCCTTGAGGATTCTGCCTCCTTTGTTTCTGGGCATCTCTAGTGATTATTGGTACCCAATCCTGCAAAAAGAATATTTATTTATTTAATTTTATTTTTTGTTTAATTACTAGTTATAGGAGGCCATAAAAAATAAGGGAACGGTACGGATGTACATTAATTGAACTATTCAGAGCAGCCGCATCTAAGATCAGAACACATATGATTACTAACCTCCGAGATGGTACGTAAATAAGAAGATGAGGAATCTTATCTTGTTACACACACCTCCACACAAAGCAGTATTTTCAATAGTTCTGAAGCATATGTAACTTCAGAAAAATTAGCTAAAATAAACTAACTCTAGAATTAAGAATTTAAGTGATGTCATTAGTCTTTCTGGTGAGCACTATCTTAGAGATTGAATTTACTTAGATTACTTCTGATACAACTTTTTACCTGAAAAACTGAACACAGACAGAAATATTGAATGTTTGGTTAAAAAATTATTGATGCCAGTAGTAATAAAAATGACAAATCTATAAAAGCGTTGATTTCATATAAACAAACTAATGGTTTTTTACTTCGACATGTTGCCACTTTTACGTTTTAACTTTTAAAGGATCTAAAAATTTGATTTGAAAAATTTAATCTAATCTAACGTAACTAAACCTAATCTAAAACTGCTAGTGCAATTTTTTGTTAAAATGTTTTTGAATTAGCGTTTACTTTTACATCAATATAGAACTAACATTCGTTAATAATCGCTGTGTCAAATACCACTTTTACTTACGTTTTCCCAAAATTATATGCCTAAACAAACTTTACATTGACAATGTAGACATAAATGTCATGTCATTAAACATGGTTACTACTGATCCGGAAAAATAAGAGATTCAATGGCCTTCTTAATTTATGACTTTTTTCAACGGCTCTTTATTTGTCCAAAAAACCTCATTGAAATCGTACAGTATACAACTTGTATGATAGATGAGACCCTATTAGATTCATTCAAAATAAGTGTATCTTGTTACTGATTTTTGTAAATTAATACATACCTCTGGTACTTGATTATGCCAAGGTTCAGATCCTATTACTACATTCGGCAAGGGTTCAGGATCAGGAATTATAACCGACGGATTATTTTCAGTTCTACTCTCTTGAGCGTCTACTTCCATGGACTAAAAAAAAAAAAACAAGACCAATGAATTTTAGATTAAATTTGTTATTATAAATACTCCCGAAATCCAACAAAGTTTATTTTATTTAAATCATGAAATTTTTTGTTTTGGTCAAGAGTAGATCTACGTATTGATAAACTCTACGCCACTGTTGTTGGTTTTTACTTTATTTTTTTAGCAATGTAATTTAGTAAGCATGTAAGTTTGATTTGTTTGTTTATATTATAATTGTTACTGCAGAACTACTGCTTGTAGCGAAGACCAAAGTGGATTTACGCCTGATAGATCTTGCACTGATTACTTGTTAACAAAAAAATGTTATACTCAAACAATTAATAGAAAAAAGAATAGCGGTTGGCACTGAAGTACATCTAGCCTTCATCGACCTAGAAAAGGCGTATGATACGTTTCCAATACTTAAATTGTGGAAAACTTTACAACAACTCAGCATTAGTCCATACCTTTTAGGAATAATCACAGAAGTATATAGGGATAACACTACTTTATAGTTTATTCGTCTTCCGGGTTTGGACCGTGTCATTTGTGAGTGACCCAAAAGTGGGTTCATCTCGAGATGAACCCACTTTTGGGTCACTCACAAATGACACGGTCCAAACCCGGAAGACGAATAAACTATAATTCTGACTCTGGCCGTGGAAGCCTACGATTTCATAACACTACTTACCTAAAAATCGGAAGTAGACTATCAGAGCCAATAAAATTAACTAAAAAACTAAGACAAGGATGCAGTATGTCACCCTTACTGATTAATTTATATATTGAGGCAGCCCTCCAAAATTGGAAAAACCACTGCCAGGGAATGGGAATCCCCATAAGAAATGATGTATTGTTCTCCCTGAACTTTGCGGAGGACCAAGTCGTCCTAGCTCAAGATTTTTATGATCTAGAATTTATGATAAAACGTCTATACAGAGAATATGTAAAATGGGGGTTACAAATCAGCATGAACAAAACAGAATATTTAGTTATCAATTCAGATGCAACGTTTGAAGTGTTGATAGGCGAGGACGTGGAAATCAAACAAGTGGAAAAATTTTAATATATAGGTGCATTTATTGATAAGAACGACTTGGGAGAAACCGAAATTTAACAACGAATTAATCAGGGACGTAAAATTGTAGGATATCTGAACTCCTTATGATGGGATCGCAATATTTCCAAAAGGAACAAAAAAAGAATAGGGTTGAACCATGGTTGAATCATTTCTTTGTTATGGCTCTGAAGTATGGACAATTAATGCAGTCCTGAAGAGAAGATGTTGGCAGTTGAAATGGATTATTTGAGAAGTGCTAGAACATCAAGGCTGGAAAGGAAGACCAACAAATCTATAAGAAATAACATGAATGTTACAGAAACGGTCATTGATAGAATAGAAAGCAGAGGTTTAAAATAGGTGTTCACTATTAAGAATGCCTGACCAACCTTGGTCCCAAAAACTTCAAGGATGGAAGTCCCCTGAGAGAAGAAAAAGAGGTAGACCTCGACGCTCATGGAATGAATAAATTAGAAGAGCGATGGAATCGAGAGGATTGGAGGAGGAGCATGCCTTGGACCGGGAGGATTGGCGGCGAAGAACGGGAATATAGCGATAGCCGTCTCCAAACTGTATTGTCTTACAAGTTGGATCCTGTAATATATGTGAATTTAATTAATTCTTCTTTACTGTTGATGTCTATCAGAAAGTTATTTAATGCTCCCGGTCCGTGAGACCAAATGGAGAACACATTATCATGGCATGATAATTAGTATTGCAAACTATGTAGTTTTATATTCTAGTGCACTATAAACAGGAAAGACAGGTGGAGATGATGATGTAGGTCCGGAAGAAGTAAAATAGATGGCAGAAAGGGTGAACTGACTCTGGAAAATATATAGAGGCATGGGAAATACAACATATTCCTTTACCACTGACAAAATAGCTTAATAGTGCCAAAAAAAGTAAAACACGTAAAATGAACCTTAAATTGATAAAAGTAAGTAAATAAAGTATTCTAATGAAAATATATATAAACAAGATTGAATATTCAATATTTACTTTTAAATTATTCTACTTAAATTTAAATCTACCACCTATTGATAATCATTTAAATTTGCCATTGTTTCATTCGACAATATTCTAAATTCCCCGGTAAACTGATTAACAGATAAGATACAGGTTTGCTTACCTCTACTTCCGTTTCGTTTTCTACCATAGGTTCCAAAATCGGAGTCATAGGTCTGTGAACGATGTACGGCTGTAAGACACTCTCTGGTATATTCAGATTTGACAATATTTGCCGTAAACGAACACGACTCGTCATTAGTGTCCAATTTTGCACATGTTGGGGAACATCTCTCATAAAATAAGCCTAAAAAAGTATAAAATAACAAAATAAATTGTCAAATTTATAAGTTTCAAGTTTATTAAGTGAAAATTGTCCAGTGGTAATAGTATAATCAATCAATCGCCACTATATTTCGTTATTTCCTTTATAAACACGAAAATATCATTACAATTATACATCTAACGCGACGCTTTACGATTGTGTATTTAATAATTACGGCAAAGAACAATAGTATGGCGTGAATTGGCATTTGACCTTACGTACAAGTTACAATACACAAGTACTGACCAAAACAATAACCAAATCTGTCTTTTCACTCAAATACGTAATTAGAATGATACGAATTAAACCCTTGGTGCTTAGATGCAATAAATACGGGGAAATAGTCCGTTTCACCGTTAAAATAACTATCATGTACGAGGGTTAATCTCACAATTCTTATTGTCAAACATATTATATTTCAATATTTCAAATTGTTTTTATTGCACTTTTTGAATTTGTTACGAACAAAAGAATACAAATGCAAAACATATGATGTACAGCTTGTAAGCAAGATCGCTATAGGAATTTTAAATTTCTTTATTTTTGGCAAGTAATTGAATATTTATTTACCATTTACGTAACTCGAAATTTCAACTAATTGTTTAATTTAGCATGAATTTTCTGTGACCGTACACAGTTTTTAACCTGTGTATCCACCGTATCATAAAAATGTTCATTTGCAAACGTAAATATGTACTTCTTCTTCTTCTTAGGGTGCCTGTCCGTTCCGAACGTTGACGATCATTTTGGCTATGATGACTTTAATGGTTGCTATACGAAATAGCTGTGTTGAAGTCTTTCTATACCATGCTCTCAGGTTAGCAAGCCAGGATATTCTTCTCGTCCTGGGCCCTTTTTCGTTCAATTTTATCTTGTAAAATGCATTGAAGTAGCTCTTATTTGCCATGATTTCTCATTATATGTCCCAAGTACTACAGCTTACGGTCCTTCATGATGTTGACTAAATCCGCAGTTGTGTTCATCCTCCGCAGTACTTCTTTATTGGTGACTTTGTCTGTCCATGGTATCTTCAATATCCTTCTGTATGACCATAGCTCAAAAGCCTGAAGTTTTGATAGGGTTTTCGTCTCCAATGTCCACGTTTCTACTCCGTACAGAAACACTGAGTACACAAAACATTTAGGAAGCCTTATTTTTATTTCTGAGGTGAGGTCATGGCTCTTGAACACAGAACTCATAGTCAAGAATGCACTCTGCCTTTCCGATGTGACAATTAATCTCTTGGGTATTGTCCCACGACTCATTGATTATAGTTCCCAAGTAGTTGTATTGTGAGACTCGTTCAATTCTCACTTGGTTCACATAAAGATTTGCTCCAGTTATGTTTTCCTTGCTGATGATCATCAGCTTGGTTTTGCTGGTGTTATATCCAGTATGGATATAAATATGTAATTCCAAAATAGGATATTAATAGTTACTTCCCAAGAAGTGTAGACGTTCCAAGCCGGTATATTTAACAGAAATGTATCTCATATTTTTGGTGGCAGTAGGACGAAAAGGCCAGGAAGAAATAATTTCAGACTATGGCCTATAAATTCCGAAAACAATAATCAATTACTTTCATTTATATTGTTCTGAAACACTAAGAATAATTGTAGAACAGTCACAGGAATTCAACTCTCCTCTCTTTGTGTGCTTTGTGGACTTCAAGAGAGCTTTTGACACGCTCACACATACGGCCATATGGAAAGCACTGCAGGAAATAGGAATACCAGAAAAAATAGTAAATCTCATCAAAGAACTCTACAGTGACACAGAAAGCAAAATCCTACACAACGGCATAACATCTGACCCAATAGCTATGCTAAACGGAGTAAAGCAGGGCTGTGTTTTATCCCCTATACTATTTAACATTGTACTGGACTCCGTACTAACAAAGGTAAACTCTAATAGAGGAATTTACTGGGGATTAACAAACAGACTGGAAGACCTAGATTACGCTGATGATATATGCCTCCTAGCACATACAAAACAGGACATGCAACTCCAAGTAAACAAAGTACAAGAAGAATCAAAGAAGGTTGGTCTAGAAATAAACACCAACAAAACCAAAGAAATGCGATTTGGTACCAGAAACAACCAACCTATTATGATCAACGACCAGAAAATTGAGAGAGTAGCGGAATTTGTATATCTGGGCAGCATAATTGACTGTAATGGGGGTACAGAGCGTGATGTACATGAAAGAATAAATAAGGCTCGCAACGCCTACAACATGCTTAACAACATATGGAAATCCAGGATTTACCCAACTAAAACTAAACTAAAAATCTTCAACACAAATGTAAAAGCTGTATTACTGTATGGCTGCGAAACGTGGAAGATATCAGCACCCATAGTACACCAATTACAAGTTTTCATTAATAGAGCGTTACGAAAAATCCTTCGTATATTTTGGCCTAACCGAATCTCCAATGAAAATTTATGGAACCAAAGCAACCAAGAAAATGTCATAAAGCAAATAAGGCGAAGAAAATGGAGATGGCTGGGCCACACACTCCGTAGACCGCCAAATGACATTGCCAGGACAGCGCTGGATTGAAATCCCCAAGGCCGACGGAAAGTAGGCAGACCTAAGGGAACTTGGAGAAGGACAGTACTGGACGAAGGGAGAACAATGGGAAAATCCTGGCTTGAAATCAAAGCACTAGCCAGAAATAGAGTTCGCTGGAGACACTTTGTGGAAGCCCTATGTTCCTCTTAGGAATCTTGGGACTATATATATATATATATATATATATATATATATATATATATATATATATATTGTTCTGAAGCTATTTTATTGCGGCATTTTACTATACATACTAGCATTATGTTAGTATCTTCTGTATACTTAGCAGACAGATCAAAATCATATTTCCTCCTGGTCTCCCGATTGAAACCCAAATGTTTCTGATCCAATTGAACACTATTTAACCCTTAACGTGTTAAGCACGTGGTCTACAATCGTTTCAAACACTTGTATATCTGTCATTATTTTCTTTTACATGCGCGTGCATCTCAGTAGCTGTTGCTAACGGTCGTCTTATTCTTATTTACGGTTTTATTTGTGTTCGGCACTTCAGTTGAGTATTTCGTCAAGCATAGAACAGTACTGGTCTACGATTGTAGACCACGTGTCCACTGACGTTACAACATCTGGCTACATTGCAGAGATTTGATTCTATTGTTTTCAAAATTCAAGGTAACGTTTATTTATTAACATTTGGTATACTTGTAGTTACTGTGATATATTTTAGATACTATGTCTAATAATAAAAGAAGACGGGTGGAACGAAGCAACGACCCGGAAGTTTGGTCTCGATGGTTTCAGGAGATATCAAGTGGGGAAGAACAAGACTCTGATGATGAGTCCGAAGATGATCTCGATGCGAATGTGAATTTTACTGAAACGAGTGATCAGGAAACAGACACTGAATTAGAAACATCGAAGCAAGAAGAATTGGCCTAAGATGAAGGAACGTCAGGCGACTCTGATAAAGCAAGTCCTTCAAATTTTTACATAGGAAAAGACAGGGGACTAAATGGAAAAAATATAGATTCAATTTACAAGTTCGTATCCGCTCTCAGAATCTCATTAAACTTATGCCTGGTACAAAAGGAAACGCACACACTGTTCAAACTGAAATTGATTGCCTGAAGTTATTTTTGGATGAAACAGTTATCAGACAAATCGACAACTATCGACAAATATTTTTATTGAAAAGATACGGAGCAATTATCAAATAAATCAAGACTGTAGACAAACCAAAGAAACTGAAATTCGTACATTGTGATATTGTTCTTGATTGGTATTCTTACAAGTTCCAGAAAAAAATTACATAAAATATGGGATAATTCTCAAGGATTCGGAGTTAAGTCATGCTACCTGGCAATGAGCGAGAAAAGATTTTGATTTTTTATAAGATATCTACGATTCGATGATTTGGAGACAAGAACAGAGCGAAGAACTTATAAAATAAGTCAAATGTATTTAGAAAACGTTTTTGTATGTGAAAATCGGCAAGATATTTGAAAAATGAAAGGTTTTATACGGTTGAACTTTGTAGTGTCTCATTCTGCTTGATTACCATGCTGCCAGTGCATATATTACCGCTAAAACAGTGTAACTTTATACACATTTTGAGTTATGGACGAAAAACGAGGCGAAGATTGAAAATTTTTCCGCGTAAATAATGAACAAATTTCTAAAGGAAGCTATCTTGCAAAATCAATAAATGTGTGTTTATTAAAGATTTTGTGGTATTTTCTAGAAAGAATTTGTAGAATAGTCCTCGTAAATACATTAAACTGAGTATGCTAGTACGAGTTGTAAACATTAATTGTTTGTGTAGATTAAATCGCTTTCTTTCCAAAATAGATAATGAGACTTTCTAATTGATTGAACTATAAAATAATCTACGTTGATGACATTTAAATATGCTTTTAGATTATCCAAATAATTGCAATATAATTTAATTTCGAAAACTGAATAAAACACTTTCAAGGTGGTGAAATTTTACGAATCACACCATTGCAGTGGCGTTACCATATCATTTGAGTCCGTAGCAAATTTATTTGTATGGGGCCCCAAGAAAAATCGTCACATTTTAATAAATCACTGAAGTAGTAATAGAACACTAATAGTGTTTCTGTTTTAGGTAAATATATAATTTTCAAAATCATATGTATTACATATGTACAATAAAATACTAGTTTAACGTTAACAAGATATTTAGTAATAAAATTATTTTCTCCAAGGTTTCTGTTCCGCAAAAGTATCAATAACATCCTCAAAATGTAACAATCGAGCCATAAAATTTCCAACATACAGAATAGGCAAGTTACTTAGCCCCGTAGGGCTAAAGATAATAATGTTTTTGTAATAGGTAAACGTCTTAATAATTTATATAAAATTATATTTAAAATCAATGTTGAATCTAATATTGAATCTGCAAATTTAGCACTAAATATAGATA